ACTGATTTCTGCTACCCAAAAGAAGCCTCATTTTATCTAAATGTGTTAATTTGGAAAGATCTACAAGATACACGAGAAAATGAAAAAAAAAGTGAGGTATGTGTACTATAAGCTGATTCATGTTTTAAAAGGGAATATATATGTGCATATATATATACACACACGTGAGTATAAACACATAACATATACACTAACATATATATGTTTTAATCTTACATGTATATAAAAATGATGCTTAGTAAGACTTCAGACATTTCTTCACATTTCTCAACTAAAGCCCAAAGCTAAGGATTAAGAGGTGTTAAGTCACTGCCCTTTCCATTCTAAAGAGAACTGTCAAAGAAGACTAAGGTAACTCTCTGGTTTGTGAAAAAGTGAGTCAGCTGGTCCTGCTACCCTGACACCACTCTGCTTTTGGGGCTACATCAGAAGCCTGGGGACAAGGGAGAAGAGATTACTTTTACACTCTTTGCTGAGAGGGACACTAAGGGAATCCCTCATAAAGATTAGAAGTGCCTAGAAGAAGAGACTTGGCATCACATTCCTGGGATGATGCCCCCTACTGCCTGGCCAAGTGTGGAAATGAGCCAGGGAGAGAAGAAAGAGACATAGAAGAGGGCACAGAAAGTGAGATGGGTAGAGAGACAACAGAGGAGAGGCCTGCAGCCTGAGACGGAGTGTTCTAAAGATATGTATCTTGTGTGTCAAGTAGATTCCCAGAAGGTACCTGGGCTTGAACAGGTAGACCCAACAGACAGAGGATTAAAGTCACAACATGATAAACCCTCTTGCCCCAATTTTTTTTCCTTGCCCCAACAACAGAGTATCTAGAGCTTAGAAATGGGAGAGGGAAAGGTGTCTGGGAGACAGACAAGCCACTTGTCTCTAATCTAGGTGACAGAATGGAAGGAGTGCAAAAAAGTAGCCAGTCCTCTTGTCCACTGCTGGTCTCCAGGAGCACAGAGCAAATCTATGCTGGGGAGAGGGGAACAGGTGCAATGTACATTGAGTTTGTGATTAACAGTTTTAAGTGGACAAACTTTTATAACTTAAAGTAATTGTGAGTTGTGGGATCATCCAAAGAAGTCACTAAGGGATATTGTATATAGCAGGGGGAAAGCAGAAATTGGGAGAAAAAATAAAGTTTTGATTTAAGACTTGTTTGAAAAACTAGTTGTAGTATATTCCACCCACTTCCCTACACACACACCCTTGTTTTGCAATACATTTGGTAACTACTATTATATCATTCTGTATCTTTTATTTTTATCCACATGTGTGTAATTATTTTTATATGAAAATAAACTGTTGCTTTCTTCATGTAGATGCTCCCAAAGTATTTCTCTTCCTGCTAGGTCCAGGGTTAGGCTAATTTCTCAGCTCCCTAGAAGGGAAGGCGGAGCTACTAAAATGTGGGCAGAAGTGATACATACTTCTAAGCCTAAAATCATATGAGATCCTCCACAACTGTCTCTCTCAGCTCTTTGCTCTGGCTCTCGCTCTCCTGTTTGTCGACTGGCTGATTTCAGAGGATCCAGCACAGGGATCTTAGGAGGCCTGAGAGAGTGGAGTCTATGAACATAAGGGTCCTGAGTCACTTTGTGGAGGAGAGCTATCCAGGAAAACCCATCAACACAGAACTTTTGCATTAGGCTTCAGCCTCTGAGCTTTGGGTTAGTTTGTTTCTACAGCATAACCTAGCACCCATTTGTTGTTGTTTTTTTTTTTTTTTTGACAATTTTTTAAAATTTCATTTATTTATTCATGAGAGATACAGAGAGAGAGAGAGAGAGAGGTAGAGACACAGGCAGAGGGAGAAGCGGGCTCCATGCAGGGAGCCCGACGTGGGACTTGATCCTGGGTCTCCAGGACCACGACCTGGGACGAAGCCAGCGCTAAACCACTGAGCCATCCAGGCTGCCCCCAGCACCCATTTGAACAATACATTGGGAATCCAGAGTTTGTTCAGAATGTCTTTATTCTTCTTGTTAAAGTCTTATTGTCCATAGAGATTATGAACACTGTCCTTCAGATAAATTAATAAAACAGCTCACAACAAAGTAAAGAGAATATGGGTTTCGTTGTTGTTGTTGTTTGAGAATATGGGTTTTGAAGTAAGAGCCAATTAGAAAGCCCAGTTCTGTTATTTTCTTCTAGACTCAGAGGGAAATCCTGGACCAATGGCCAGGTTTCTGTCTTCTTGCCAGGACACCATTAAATGCCTTTTATTCCCTCCTTACAAAATATATATGAAACAGAATTAAAATTCTTCTGGGATGCCTGAGTTGCTCACTGGTTGAGTGTCTGCCTTCAGCTCAGGGCGTGGTCCTGGAGACCCAAGATTGAATCCCACATTGGGCTCTCCTTGAGGAGTCTGCGTCTTCCTCTATGTCTCTGCCTCTCTTTCTATGTCTCTCATGAATAAATAAAATCTCTAAAAAGAGAGAGAAAAAGAATTAAAATTCTTCTGTCTGTAAATAGTTGACAAAATAGTTGAAACGGTTCTATAAAACTCTGCCCTTTTTCTGTAGGAGTTTTTGAAAATGTTTTATTTTTGAAGGGGATTACATTTCAGTTGAGTACTAGAAAAGAAAACCTGATTCCTTCCAGAGAAAATAGGAATCTCCATGAAATAATGGATATAGGAAATGATTGTCCAAAGCTGCATCAGGTGAAAAGCTGATGGAACCTTATAATGGATGGATCAGGCTGATACCTAAAAATCACAAAAGATACTCCAATTTGACATTTTTTTCCCCAGATGTCTTACAATAGTAATTACACAATACTATTTATGCAATCATTTTGCTAAATATTGATATGGCCACTAGATATATCAGTTTACAGAAAGTACAGAGACAGAAAAATAGGTTAAATTGAGCTACAGGGTCAAATTAGCTAAATTAATTAAATGATACGATTTTTAGATTTGTTTCCAAGTAATGCAAGGAGGGGGTGGGGGTATAAATGAAACAAAATTGGCCATGTGTTGACAATTGTTGGAGCAGAGTGATGGATTCTTATACTATTCTAGCTTTTAGTATATATGGTTGAAATGTTTCCACAAGGAGGGAGAGAGAGAATAAAGAAGGAAAGACTACAAGTTGGATAACTATTTTGAGAATTTTGCTATAAAAGGAGAAGAGGAATGAAGAATTGGAAGAGGACAAACAGCTCAAGATATTTTAATAAAGGAGATTTTACCATGTGCTTGTGGCTGTCTCTTTACTACAACTCCTAGTCCAAACAAAAGGAAGAAATGGATGGTATGGAAGAGAGGTTACTGAAGGAGTAATGTTCTTGAGTAGAAGAGAGTAGATGATGTCAAGGACGCAGTGGAGAGGGTGGCCCAAGCTAGGAACTTGATGATATTCATTGTCACTGAAAGGAATGAAGAGGGTATGGGCAGAGTTTTAGGAGTATGGGTTGAGTAGGCGCTGGTGGGGGAACACAGGACTAGCTGAGGAAAAGGCACGAGCCCAGGGCAGCACATTGACAAGTCCTCAAAACAGGCAAAGGGATATTCCTCTATGGACTCAACTGCCTCCATGTTCATACTTTGCTAAGGGCAAAAGGCAATCTTAGCCCAACCCCCAGGAGCCTGTAAGTCTACTTTAACATATAAAAACTCCTTCAGAAATTTCCCTTTATCTCTAAACCCCCAGGATACATGTTGGCAATCATCCTCCAAGCACATGGCCCACTGATACACATCTAAAGGGTCTCATCTTTGGTCAAAGGTGGATTTATTAAAGCACGGGGACAGAACAGGTGGGCACAAAGAGCTGCACTGGGGTTGTGAGGAGCAATTGATTATATACTTTGGGGTTAAGGGAAATAAAGATAGGGGAAGTTTGAAAAGGATTTTCTTATGCTAAAGAAGACTCACAAAAAATCCAAAACCTTGCTATTGTCAATGTGAGGTTGTTTTTCCCTCTAGCAAGGCATTAACATTAAGACAGTTGGGACTTTCCTGGAGGAACATTATACTCTACCTGCCTCAAGTATTTTGTCATGGGCTGCAGGTTATAAGGACATATTTATCTATATTTCCTTCTAGAAGTTAGGTTATTGATAAGAGTGCTCTTTTCTTGTAAATTAGTAAGACATTTGTAAACTGAGGGGGACTCAATGTTTTGCAGGGACTATAATCTATAAATAAACCACTTGTTTGTCCTTCCCCTCAGCTTTTAGGGCAGCCAGAAGTGCCTAAGGAATATCACACATATCCCACCTGGGAGTGGGGGAAAGAGGGGTGTGGGGTGTTAGCTTGCCTTCTGCTCCCTCATCATTTAGATGTCACTCCTTTCCCCTCATTAGTTCTTTAAAAACTTTCCCAGTAGGGACGCCTGGGTGGCTCAGTGATTGAGCATCTGCCTTTGGCTCAGGGCTTAATCCCGGGATCAAGTCCTGCATCAAGCTTCTGTTAGGGAGCCTGCTTCTCCCTCTGTGTCTTTGGTGCTCTCTCTCTCTCATGAATAAATAAATAAAATAAAAATCTTTAAAAACAAAAACTAAAAACTTTCTCAGTCTTTGTTCTCAGACCCAGCATGAAAGACCTTCTCTTTTGTAGTGTCTCCCTTGTGCTAGAGCATAAGCCCCAAAAAGAGCCTTTCCTGGAAATTCCAATTTGGCCCCAATTGATTTCTATTGCTTGGAGAGCCCAAGGACCCAACTCAGTAACTTTACCAACAAGAATGATGGAGAAATTATAATAGCATAGCATAACAAAACTAGCATAGCAGAGAAAGAATCTGCAGAATAATAGAACACATTTTGTTCCAGGTAAGACCTGATACAGGACTAAGCCAGAACATCTCTGGCTGAAGTTAATTATTTATGATTAAGGAAAAAAATTACATAAGCACCCAGGCAGAGTAAGTGAGGCTCTACAATACTATTCTTTTTTTTTTTTTCAAGAGGACCAGGTTTATTTATCCTATAGACAGAGCAGTTCAAGATGTTGAGAGGCATCATTTGTTTAAATTATGACAATGTGATTGTTTTCAAAGTGTGTTTATTTAGGGGAAAAAGTGATTATAGAAAAATACTTGAACTAATTTGCCAATGAGGTTGCAGATTCTAACAATAACCCACATTTTAGGTTTTTAAGTGTGTGGTTTCATAATTTAAACAAATCGAAAACTTTTTTAAACAAATTATATCAAAGAGCTATCAATATACTTCATCACGTTAACGTTCAATAAAAACCGAATAAAAATCACATTTGAATGATTTACTTTTACATTTTTATCTGATTGTATCCATCAGATGTACTATACATCCAAGTACAAGAGGCAGATATCTTCTCTGAGAGGTGCAAGAGTTGTTCTTTCATGAATGCCCTCTAAGAATAGTGAAACCAGCAATTTTTATATATGCATTCATGTGCATATATATGTACTTCAAAAAGCAAAGCGTCCTCTCTTCGTCCATTAACTTAATGGTAAGAATGGGGGCCACCAGGCATCGGTGGAGCACCAGAAGGTCCTGAAGGCACTTGAAAAGGATTGTTGGGAGTGGGATAGAGTCCTGGTGTGGGATATGATCCTGCAGGGGCAGGATATGGTGCTGGTGGTCCCCAGGCTCCTGGTGGAACAGTGCCCCATGGAACAGGTGGCGCTGCCCCTGGTGCTTGGGGAGGGGGTGCAGGATATGGCCCTGGAGATGGATATGGCATATTAGGGGTAGGATACTGCCCTCCCATTCCAGGCGCCCAAGGTCCAGAAGACATGGATCCCCATGGACCTAAAGGACCAGCAGCAGCTGGATCTGTGGGTGCACCATATGGTCTTGGAAGCTCTGGAAAGGGCATATTTGGTGTAGGATATGGCCCCGTGGGGCCAGGGCCTGGCACGGTTGGGGCTGGATAAGGACCACCAGGTGGGGGACATGATGGTCCAGAAGGAGGAAAGGGTGCTGGGGGTCCTGGAGGTGGTCCGGTGGGAGGCACAGAGGGATACATTCCTGTTGGTGCTGGTCCAAAAGGCACAGTGGAGGGTGTTGCACTTGGTGGGAGTCCAGATGGCACAGAAGGTGGAGCACTTGGGTTATTCCAAGGGTTGGAACTTGGCCAGCCTTGAGGAGGTTGGCCAGGTTTTGTATTGCTCACAGCAGACGTTTTGGCAGGGGAGTGTTCGGGTAGTGCATCTGCCAACGAAAATTCATCAGACATTTTCCCGGCAAGATCCGAGCCCGCAGCAAAGTCTAGAAGCGGCGATGGGTCCGGGGGAATCGGGTGCTGAAGAACCGAACGCGGACTGACTGGCAGCGGCGGCGGCGGCGGCGGCGGCGGCGGCGGCGGCGGCAGCGGCAGCACTTACAATACTATTCTTGAATTCAGTTCTGACACTAACTGGGATTAGCATCAGACCCCACAGCTTTAAAGGTACAATCCCCTCAAGACTTTCCTCACTTTATATGTTAACTGCAAGTTCTGGGGTCCCCCAGGCCACCCAAACCTCTGACCAATTGGCTATAAAATCAGGGGGTCCCACAACTCCCGTATGTTCCTTAAGCCACTAGAACACAGAACTCAAGTGCTATACTTAGTTTTATTACAAATGACATAGATCAGAACCAGCCACATAAAGAGAAACATAAAGCAAAGTCTGGGAGGGTCTTCCATGCTCCCTCCCTGTGGAATCAGGGAATGTCATCCTCCCAGCACATCCAATGTATTCACTAACCAGGAAGCTTCACCAAGTTTTTATCAGGGAATCATTAGCCAAGTGACTGCAGTCAATCTCCAGCTCTCCTTCTCTTCCAGAGGTTGGGATAGCTTTGAAGTTCCAACCATGTAATCACATAGTTGACCCTTCAGGTGACCAGACCTTTCCTCCTGAGTCACTTTGCTAGCATAAACTCAGGTGTAATTTAAGGGGTTCATGAATAACAAAGATACTCCTACTACTCAGGAATTCTAAGGGTTTAGAGTCTCCAAGGGCTTAGGAACCAAGGACAAAGGCCAGTTAAATTTTTTATTATGCAACAGACACATAGCAAGAGAAAAGAACTTGGTTGACATTGGGTTTCTTCAAAGTAATATTTAATGCCAAATAACAGTGGAACAAAGTCCACAATTTTCTGAGGGAAAGAAAATTTAACACAAGAAACTCATACTCAGCCAAGTTATTCTCCATATAAAGTCAGTAGACAGACATTATCAACTAAGCAAGGGAATATAGTCATTATAAGCCCTTCTGAAGAAAAAAAAATCTACTAGATGTTAAAATCAGCTAACAACAACAACATTAAAGAATACAAGGACTATTGGTGAGTTTTGAATCCCACTTAGACATTAAATCAGGGTTTCTTAGCCATAGCACTTAGGTTTGGGGCTGGATAATTAATTCTTTGTTGTAGAGGCTGTGCATTATGAGATATTTAGCAGCATTCCTGGTCTCCACCCACTAGATGCCAATAGCACTCCCCACAGGTTTGACAACCCAAAATGTTTCCAGACATTGCCCTATATCCCCCTAGGGCACAACCGCCCCCAGTTGGGAATCAGTGACATAAACTAATGCTTCATAATTGAGGAAGTTATGGTTACAGAAGAGAATGTACAGGTCTCAAAACCTGACAATAATATAACAAAAAACAAGTCAAGGCACTAGGTGAAGGGAGATAAAAGAAAGAGAATGTATCAATTGATTAATTTCTTAAAGTAGATACTGATTGATATGCTTAAATAGAAAAAGGTAGTTTAAAAAATTACTCCAATCACTTTAGGGTTTCCTTAACTTTGGTGGGATCTTTTAAGAACTAATGACATGTCTAGTTAAGAAACACCTACCTGGGGGTTGTCTGGGTGGCTCAGTCAGTTCAGCATCTGACTCTTGATCTCAGCAGCTCAGGTCTCAATCTCAAGGTCGTGAGTTCAAGCCCCACATTGGGCTCCACACTGGGCATGTAGCCTACTTAAAAACAAAACAAAACGAAAGAAAGAAATACCTACCTGGTATTTGACTATTCTTCAGTTTCACTTCAATTGTTTTTCTGTGGATTAAAGTTCAGTATCATTTTACTTAAAATATTATGCATACCCCAGATCCATTTTTTATCAGTTCACCTACCTACTTCCATCTGTAAATATGCCTAGAGTAATATGTAAAATGATGTGTGCTCAGAGCTGTTAACAGTTGCTTCTTTGTGGTGAAATTTGAAATGGTCTTTTACTATATTCTTTGTATTTTTCTATGTTGCTAGAATTTTAAAATGAATGTTAATTGCTTATATACGAAAACATTTATTCTCCATTGCTTTCCTGTTTTTTTTTTTTTTTAAGTAAATCATTTTTGGAGATATGGCTTCTTTACTCAAATATTTGCTGAATGCCTGTAGTGTATTGGGCTCTGTTCCACCTTTTTGGAATTCAATGATGAGCAAAATAGTTAAAGTTCCTGCATTCTTGTTGGCCTGGAATGGGCTAACAAGAACCTTTGGTATAATATTAATATTAATCAGGCATGGTAACTACAGCCTTATTCCTGATTGAATGGAATGCCTCTAACATTTCATCATGAAGTGTTTCTAACATTTCAATATAAAATTAAGTTGTTGATGTCCATTATTTATCATATTACAGAAATTCCCTTCTATTTGTATTTACTTTTGGGGACAATGAAGGTTGTCATGAATGAATGCTAAAATTTGTCAATGACCTTTACTGTATACATTGAAATGCTCATATTGTTTTTTTTCTCCTTTTACCTTTTCTTAGGATAAATTAAGTCAGAGTTTGACATACAATCAGTCAAATTGGTCATAATGGATGTTTGATTTTTGTACATTGCTGAGTTTAGTTTGTTAATGATGTATTTTTTACTCTTTATTTGTGTTCGTAGCTTTTCAGTTTGCCTGTGATTTTCTCTTTAGCAGTGTTTTTATCTAAAAATGCTACCAATGCTATTCTAATCTCAAAAAATGAGATGGGGGTGCCTGGGTAGCTCAGTTAGTTAAGTGTCTGCCTTCAGCTCAGGTCATGATCTCAGGGTCCTGGGATTGAGCCCCATATTGGGCTCCCTGTTCAGATTGGAGTCTGCTCAAGTCTCTCTCTCCTTCTTCTTCCTTAAAAGAAGACAGACAAAGACAGATATACACACACAGAAAGGTATGTGATCAGACAGGCAGAGATTATAACAATATATCTAAAAAGCCAACTCCAATGATTACTGAAAACACTAGAAGCTAAGAGAAAGGCATAGAATAGATTCTCCCTTAGAACCTTCAGAGACAGCATGGCCCCTACTGCTACTCACATTTTAATCTCAGATTTCTAGTCAGAACTGTTACAGAAGAAATCTCTGTCACTTGAAACTACCTAGTTTGTGGCACTTAAATGTAAATGATTTAGTTAATTATTGTAGAAAGTAATATGAAACTTGGTGTTTTGATGCCCCAAAAACACCAGCTCAGTATTCCTTTGTGTATTTTGAACCATCTAATTACTTATAATAACATTTTGACTACCTGACTGCTTCACTGTTAGACTAGATTCTTTTCTATCTGATACATGTTTTATTATGTATTGATTTTATACATTCTCTCAATGGCTAGGCATTTTATCTCTATATATTTTTTAAAGATTTTATTTATTCATTCATGAGAGAACAGAGAGAGAGGCAGAGACGCAGGCAGAAGCAGGCTCCCTGCCGGGAGCCCAATACAACACTCGATCCTGGGACCCCAGGATCATGACCTGAGCCAAAGGCAAAAGCTCAACCACTGAGCCACCAGGGCACCCCTCTATACAGTTTTTAGCACAAAAAGACAGATTTTTTTTTAAGTTTGTAGGATCGGGAACAGGAGATGCCTTCTTCCCTTTCTGAATATATTTTAGTAACCTTTTCTCTCTATGATATATATTGTATGTGGAGCTTTGTTTCACTCAGAACATAGCAGTCAAAAATGCATGTATAATTATCTTAAAATTAGAAATCAGTGGATAGAAAGAAATAAAACAGTAGAGAAAACAAAAACCAATGCCTAGAAGGTTAGACATATAACTTAAGAAATATATATATAATAGGATATAATATATATATATAATAGGATAATACTCTTTAGGCATTCCTGCCTCATACCAGAATAAATTCCAAGTGACTAAAGATTTAAATTTAAAAACTGAAACCATCTTAGTATGTGGGACCTGTTATCTTGTAGCATCCTCTCCCCAAAACCAAAAAAATACGCACCCATAAACAAACTCAGAAAAAGCATTCCAAAGCTCAGCAATAACAACTGAGCAAACAGGAAATACTAGGTTCTAGGCTCTGCTGAATGTTAGAGACACAAAGACAAATATGACAAAGCCATTCCTGGACTGCTGTTGCACACTCCATTAGAAGACAACCAAGTGTTATATGAAAACCTCTACACTCTAGTCAACATTAATGAACCAATTCTTCATAATGACCAAGGGTAATGAAAGCAAGTAGAGGAAGGAGGAGAGAGGACCAACAGGACATACACACACTAAAAGAAGGATGAACCTTGAAAACATTTGTATATAAGTGTGTATGTATCTCCTATTGGTTCTGTTTCTCTGAAGAACCCAGACTAATATACCCTGTAAGTACTGACTGAAACCCCTATTTGGTTCAACCATGACTGGGTTCACTGCATACCTCCTCCCCAAACAAAAGTAAGGTCTCTCCCTATTGGCTACAAGGTACCAAGTTTCATGGTATGAAAGGCACTCTGGCTTGTAATGCCTCTTAAAGCGTGTCTCCTTGATAATCTCCTAGGGCTTTTCTCCATCAGTAACACAGTGAATTAAAGAACATTAGACCATAAAGTTTTTGAGGGCAGGCACTCTTTAGTATTTGTGACAGTATCTAGTTTGTGCATAATAGGAACAAGATATATAAAATAAATAGCAGGGGCACCTGGGTGGCTTAGTCAGTTAAGCATCTGCTCAGGTTATGGTCCCAGGGTCCTGGGACCAAGCTTCACATAGCGTTGAGCTCCCTGCTCAGCAGAGTCTGCTTTTCTCTCTGCCTCTGCCCCTCCCCACCACTCATGCACTCTCCTTCTCTTTCAAATAAATAAATAAAACCTTTAAAAGAATCAATCAGTGTAATCTACCTTACTGATAGGCTAACAAAAATCACATGATGATATTAATTGATGCAGGAAAGGTATTTGCCAAAATTCAAGGCTTATTCATGATAAAGATTTTCAGAAAAACAGGAATACAGGAGAACTTCCTCAACTTGATAAACATTATCTACAAAAAAAGGTACAGTTCACATTACTCTCAAGCATGAAAGACTAAATGTTTTCCCCCTAATATCAGGGAAAATGCAAGCATACTTGCTCTTACCATTCTTATTCAACATAATATTGTAATTCTAACTGATGCAATAAGGCAAGAAAAGGAAATAAAATACACATAAATCTGAAAAAAAGAAGTAGGGGGAGGAGTTAAGATGGTGGAGGAATAGGGAACCTTAATTTTGTCTGGTCCCTGAAAATCAGCTAGATAGTTATCAAATCATTCTGAACACCTATGAAATCAACCAGAGATCTAATAAAAGATTGCTACAATTCTACAAATAGAAAAGTGATAACTTTTTGCAAGGTAGGAGGTGTGGAGGCATGAACCAAAGGCGATATATCGGAAGATAACCTACAGGAGGAGGGAGCCTCCATAAGCTAGCAACCGAAAGTGTTATAAACAGCGAAGTGCAAAATCAGAACTTTTAGAAGTCTGTCTAAAAGGTGCTTAGTGGTGAAGCAGGGTAAAATCTCAGGTGGTCTCAGGATGCCCAGGGTCACATAAAGAATTGGGGTGCCCAAGTGTGGCAGAGTTCCTCCGGGGAGGAGTGGTAGGGGTGTGCGCCATGTGAGTCCATAACGTTTGGAGACTCAAAATGGGGTCATGTGCCTGAAATTAAAAAAGCTCCATTACAGGCTGAGTGAATCCAAAGTTGAGACAAAACAGGGAGACAAGAGTGATTGATTTTCTACGAGGGCTCATTGAAAAGTGGAGGGCACAAACTTGTAGCTCTGGGACTAGAGATGAGGGCACTGCCATTTCATCCCCCACATCAGCTCAGGAGCCACTTGCACTGAGCCCAGCCCCCTGGCAAAAGTGGTACAATTCTGCCTGGGCACAGACACCTGAGAATCAGGGTAACAGGCCCCTACACCAGAAGACTACCAGGAACTTCTAGCTAATACCAAGTTTACCAATCAAAGAGAACTGCAAAACTCCAGCTCTTAAGGAAAGCAATATATAGCATTCATGCTTTTTTCTTATTATTCCTTAGTCTCAGTTTTATATGTTTTTCCTTTTCAGCTATATTCTTATTTTATCAATTATTTTTAAAAATATTTTTTAATTTTCATTTTTACATTTATATTTTATGTATATTTTTTATTTTTGGCTTTATTTAATTGTATTCAATTTTATTTTTTGTATAAATGTAAGTTTTTCTTTCTCTCCTATTTTGGTATCTAATTTCTTCTAATAAACAGACCAAAATACACCCAGGATCTAGTTTATTGTTCTGTTCAACGTCTGTTTGATTTTATTCTTTTTGGGGGGAGAGGTGGCTCTGTTTTCTTCTGATTTGCTTATTGTATATTTTTCTGGTGTCGCTGTTTCTGTTTTTGTACTTTCTCTCTCTTTCATTTACTCTTTTCTGGACAGAATGATAAGATGCAAGAACTTGCCCCAAAAGAGAGAACAAGAGGTAGTACTCACTGCCAGGGATTTAATCAATATGGATATAAGTAAGATGTCAGAACTAGAATTCAAACAATGATTATAAAGATACTAGCTGGGCTTCAAAAAAGCACGGAAGACACTAAACAATCCCTTATTGGAGAAATAAAAGAATTAAAATCTAATCAAGTTGAAATAAAAAAGGCTATTACTGAGATGTTATCAAAAACAGGCTCCAACTGGTAG